AGAATTCCTTATATATACATGATATAAGCTTATTATTGCCCTTGCATATGAAAAACATGTCACAAAAGGGTTTAGGAGAAAATCCTCCCACCCGCCCCATTTTTTCATTAATTTGGATGAAAATCTTAACTAATTTTAGTTGGCCTTAGAAATGATTGTTAGATGATTTCGTTTACGTTGATGTCAACCTATGTAGCTCATTAATAAAAAACAACTTGAGATTGGTGTATTGACAGGCACTTGGCCTGTCATGCCTGTGTGTGCTATTATATATTGATAGTCGACCTTCCCATAGGTGAGTTTCAAATTTCGATTTTTTATGAAGGGACTGTCCCTGTTGACATAGTGTCAGTCTGGAGGGAAACATGTCATGGGACATCCTGATGTGAAGATATTTGCTTTTTGAAGTCAAATTTTTCCAGGAAGAAGCACCTGTTGGACATGTTGGAAGACCATGTATACCACGGGCGGGTCTCAACATGGGATTTTGGGTACAGTTGTGCAGCTGGGATTTAAAAAACACCCCCCATTCATATATTGAATAATTGTGAAATCCCTACCTATACATATATTTCACAGCAAAATCATAACCCATTCATATATTTGGATGTGGAAATATTAATGACAAAGAGTTTGGGAAATTAAGTGAAAATCGTTGCACAACAAACTGAAAAATTATGACCCATTGATATATCACAATTGGTCAATTACCGTAGAAAGGCTTGTATAGTTCGCACTGGTACATAGTCCGCACCCCCTTCTCCCCACGAAATTTTAGGTAAAAAAACTTTTTGTAACTGTTAGAAAAGATCTAATGAAACTCCGGTAATTTCAAATCCTGTGGGGTCGTTTGCGGTATTTTCTTGGAAAAACCTGTTTTCCATCATCAAACAGAAGCTGAAACTGCTTGTAAATGATTCTAGAACGCTTCACGATTGTTAAAATAAGTTTAATTCACTTAAAAAACAATTTAGAAACTTGTGTATATTTAAACAGGAAGTTTTAAAAGCACGTGTAAAAGAAGAAATTAACCGGTGAGAGTCGAAATCCGTACATAACAGATATCACTATAATACGACTTTGAAAGTAAAACAGTTCCATCCTTTTGTAAAACAGTCTTTAATATATCTATCACATTAATGTTTGAAGGGTATTAAGCTAATACAAACCATATTAGTCAGTATGAAACACCAAAACGGAACGAACAATAACCGATTACGTTTTGTAGTTTACAAATTCTAAGCTGGTTTACGGTTGTCTTTTTCACTATGTTTGTATCGTTTCAATCAAGCAGATACCAGTTTATTTCAACCAATGCATTGAAAAGAAACGAGAAATTTGTTATGAAAGGTTTAGTTTTTATATTTATCAGTATTAATTTGATATTGAATAGAAATAACTTATTAATATGGATGAGTTAAAATTATTAGTTTGAAAAATGATAAGAGCGCCCTCTACAATATAAATAACAAAGATGGCGGTACGTAAACAAACCACCTCGGCCGCGAAATTGAAATTTTTCTCTTATTTCTTGCTTATTGTACTCTATAGTCCGCACCCCGTCTGGAAGGTCCAATTTTAGAGAATAAAACCGCGGACTATACAAGCCTTTCTACGGTACTACCTATTGATATATTTCCTCGGTAAAATTGCACCCCATTGATATATTTGATGTATCAAAAAAGGGACCCATTCCAGCGGCACATATGTATTATACCTTCATATAGGAAGAGACCCCCCCCGTGATGTATACACCAATCTTGAGTTGTTTTTATAAATGAGTTATACTGGTTGACTAGTGGTCAATTGGCATAAACAATGTCATAGAAAAATCAGTTCTTACTGTGACCTAATAACATAAGCATTGTGACAAAGAAAATTTAGTGGAAAGTGCACAAATTTGAAAGTCGTCTACTTGACGTTTACATCGAGACTATTGTATATGCATAATAGACGACTTCTGAATTCATTACATTTTAATCCTTGCGTTATCTGTTTTTATTAGACTTATAATTATACATTTCCCTCGATATCTTATCTCTCTTTGTCATGTTTGTTTGTGAGATATTCTTATAACGATTTTTACACATTTTTTGGCTTAAAAACCTATTAAATTTTTAAAGTTTGATAGATAAGGAATAAATTTAAATTGTGAAAATGATCCACAAGGTAAGATCTTTGTAACAAATGAGTCAAATATTGCCAAAATTGTTTGTCAACATTTTTTTTTTTTTTGCCTTTTATCTTAAAAACTTTTAATAGATAGACATGATAGATAGAAAATTTAATGGCAAAAATTTATCAACAGGACAAGATCTAAAAATAGGTTAATGGTATGAATTGTCAGTCAACTCCCTACAAGAGTTGATGTTATTGCCCTTAAATGATGATTCTTACCATGATTTAGGGTTTTTACCTATTATCTTAAACAGTTTAATAGATAAACAGTTTAAATACAAAAATGATCAGTAGGACAAGAGCTACAAAGAAGTCAAGATGACCAAAATTGCCAGTCATCTCTTTATAGGAGTTATTGCCATTAAATGATGATTTTTGCATTTTTGGCGAGAACGTAGATGGATAAAGAAAAACTGCAAACAGCAAATATTGATCAGCAAGACAAGATCAGATCTACAAATAGGGTCAACATACATGTAGTCAAATTGTCAGTTCACTGACTCCTTATAGGCACTGTTGCCCTTAAATGAAGATTTACCCTTATTCATTTTGAGCCAAAAATTATAGGAAATAGAGAGAAACTGTAACAGTAAAAAATAACCCTGAACAGTTGGGGCAAAAATGGACACAATATTCAAGCTTGATACAGGTCTGAATTTGGATTGTAATTAAATATTTGACATACATCTATTATAGGTTTCTGAATAAATGTAGTCAAAGAACTTGAAGTTGGTTATATGAATTGAATTTATATTCAATTAAAGATTTCTTGCTGTTGTGCAATACACTGTGCTGTTGCGCAATACTTAGTAAATCTGTTGTCAGACTATAAACAAATAAAATTTATAAAATTCTAAAGGGAGCTTACATCAATAGATATAAACTGTTTACCAAAGTTTCATACGAATTGCTAAAAGCATTTTTGAGTTTTTGTCTGAAAATTGGAAAATCCCCCCTTTTTTAATGAATAAACCCCATAATTCGGAAATGTAAAATCTAAAATTATAAAATTCTAAAGGGAGCTTACATCAATAGATATAAACAATTCATCAAAGTTTCATGAGAACTGCTGAAAGCATTTTTGAGTTATTGTCCGAAAACTGGAAAATCCCCCCTTTTTTTTTATGAATAAAACCGCATAACTGGGAAACGTAAAATCTAAAATTTATAAAAATCCAAAGGGAGTTCATGTCAATAGATATAAACAATTAACCAAAATTTCTTGCAAGTTGGTGAAAGCATTCTTGAGTTATTGTCCAAAAACTGGAAAATCCCCTTCTTTTTAATGAATAAAACCCCATAACTCGGAAACGTAAAATCTAAAATTTATAAAAAACGAAAGGGAGCTCACGTCAATAGATATAAACAATTCATCAAAGTTTTAAGCAAATTGGTGTAAGCGTTTTTGAGTTAATGTCCGACATGTTGACGACGGACGGACGGACGGACAGACGGACAGACGGACGTACAACAGTATACCATAATACGTCCCGTAAACGGGCGTATAATGATCAACAAGACAGGATCAACAACAAAAAAATGAACTTAGTCATGAAGTTACAAATGTCGCCATTGTTGGAGATGCACAAAGATCCAGGTGATACATAGGCTGTTTTACTTTGATTATTATATTATATCAGTGGTTTTCCTACAGGGTTTATACATTTTGGTGCCCCCATTGGTCATATGCTTTGATTTAGACACTATTATTCAAAATTTGAAAATTGTGTTTTTAGATCATTCTTGAAAATTCATGACCACCATCCTTTCAGTCATCCCCCCCATCTTCCATCAACTAATTTCTGTGGAAACACTAGGAAATCTGTTACATTAGCACCCATACATGTATGTCTCAATTGCAAACAATATGCTAAGTCCTTTAGTCATGCTTCTGTTACATGTACTTAGGAAATACTTAGGAACTTTTAAATGTATATATAGTTATATCTAAACTAAACTGGCTATAAAAACTTCATAAAAACATCAAAATAATTTTAATTGTACAAACTACTACTGTAAATTCAGAAATTATTGCGTGCATTTATAATTGCAATTTTTGAAGAATGGACAAAAATGCGAGATTGATTATTGTGATTTCAGGAAAATGTGCATACAGATATATGTACACAAGATATCAGAATGCGATACTCACCTAGATGCATTATTTGCATTAATAAAAACATCTCAATAATTTCTGAATTTACAGTAGTTATTTTTTTTAGATTTTGTGACACTTGACCTATTGATGTCCTACAAAAATGCCATATGAAATGTTCACTCTTGATATCAAAATTTTAAGAGAACATCGGTGATGATATGCGATTGGGGGCAAATAGGAGAGGGTTGAGCTCTCACAAACATGTTTAACCCTGCCACTTTCTTTATGTGCCTGTCCCAAGTCAGGAGCCTGTAGCTCAGTGGTTGTCGTTGGTTCATGTCTGTCATATTTGTTTTTTTCGTAAATTGTTTTGTTATAAATTAGGCCGTTAGTCTTCTCAATTCAACTGTTTCTTATTTTTCATGTCTGGGCCTTTTATAGTCAGCTATATGATATGGGTTTTTCTCATTGTTGAAGGCCATACAGTTGCCTATAATTGCTTACATCCACTTCATTTGAACTTTGGTGAATAGTTGTCTCATTGGCAATTATACCACATCTCCTTATTTTTATGTAAGTTGTTTTTACTTTTAGGTCAAGTATCATTAATGAAAATAAATATCAGAGTTTATATGATTTTTTGACCATTTTTTAAAGTTTTTATAAAATACAGAATTGTAGTCACAATTTAATGTTTTTTTCTTCACATTTGCAGATGAAAACTAGAAAATGACCTGAGCTAGCTATACAGTTCATATCGATAAATAAATTTGTTTCCAACTTCAAGATGAGGAGAACAGACAATGATGACATTCAACAATACCCAAAACCCAGATGACCGAGGAAGAAGAAAAAGATTTCCCTATGAAATCTAGTTTAAAACAAAAACTTCAATCTCTTGGAAGAAAGTGTAAAATACAAGATCAAATGAAGACAAAAAACTTCTATATTCTTGTCCTTTTTCTTGGAGCTTCAACATTGTCACTTTGGTTGCTAAGCAACCCATCACCTCATCTTCATACTATCGTTACGCAAACCCATATACAAATCAATAACATAAAGAACATTCCTGAGAATATTCGGACCTCTCACAATGAAGAGTACAAAGTTGATCCTAATGTGCTAGAGGAATTAGGCTTTCATGAGACTCATTCCATTTCATATGATAATTTACAGAAAGACATTGAAAATTTGCCGATAGGAACTGCAATAAAGCCTGGACTTTATGATGAAAGCATGCGCTTAATTAAATCTTGCCATAAACATTTACCGTCAAAGATGATCTTGATTTATGACCTTGGTATAAATTACCATAAACATCAATTGGTAAGTTTGTTCAACCTGGGAGTTGTTTCAGTTTTTTTATGATTTTTATAATTGGAGGTGCAGTGAATAATTTAAAAAATTAGGATTGATGAAACACATCTTACATGCATCAAAGAGCAATACTTCTTAAGATTTAAAATATAAAGCGGAAAACAAGTATGATATAATGTATATAAAGTGACAGCTCCCCAACAATAAAAATATTGTGGATAACCTACATGTAGCTACTTCGTAAATTTTATCAAGCGTCAAGAGTGAGAGCAGCTTAATTTTTACTTTAGTTAAGTTTGCTGATATAAAGTTGAATTATCCTCAAAGTATTTTTTTTGGCATGTGTCTTGAAACTCAAGCTTCAAATATGACAGCCCCTAATTACTAATCTTCCCCATAATTGTGACATGATGTTTTAACACCAAAATGCTAAGAATTATTCAGGAATGGAAGAAAATTAAAGATGGTAATGATTTGACATTATCTTTCTTAACAACTTGCTGTTCAGGCAAGTGACCAAGATATTTTACTTATTTGAATGAGAAAACCACTATTTAAAATTTGTTCTAGTTTACAAATGTAAGTAATCAACTATTATGGTCGCAATCATTTCATGGTGTTCTTTTTACTTTCTAAATCTCCCAATAAAGGGCCATGTTGGAGGTAATAGTATTTGAAAAGTTAAAATCAGGATAACACTTTCAAATAAGGGCAGATTTAAAATTATGGCATTATTTTCAGACCCCAAACACGCATAATATGAAATTTGTATTTTACTTATAATTCTTACTAAATTCTAAAGAAATTGCAACCCTCACAATTTATTAATTTGGGTGCCTCCCATCTCATGCATTTAAATCTGAAACAGCGTGAACTAATGCAGAAGATCTCTTTGTTTTCCATTTGTTTATTTACGGAATTCAGTGGACCATAACCAATGATTCCAAGTTATCTTTCAGGTGAAAACTTACTGCAATGAGACAAGAAAATGCACATTGAAGATATTTGAATATGAACAGTATCCCTCACATGTTAAGGACTTAGAAATAAAAAGTTATAGACCAATAATTATACAGGTGAGACTTAAGTTTTTAATCTTGTAGAGAATTCATTTCTGAATTATTTTACCTGAAGGGATGGATACTGAATTTAGTTCAAGTTAGATAATATACACAGTTTGTGTGAACCATTAAAAATGTTGAAGCCTTATATTATGATTTTGATTTATTAAAAAAATTATATTAGAAAATGGCAATACCAGAGATCTATAAAAATGCCAATATGATCGAAACCATCCAATAACTCCTTACAGAGTCATAGTCCATCATTGATGATTTTTGACTAATTTTAGTGTTTTTTCTTTTATACTGAGATCTGTAATAAAGTTGTCCGCATAAGTATTTATAAAAAACATAGATACAGATGACTATGATGTCATCACGCACATGTCACATGACAAGCACATATTTTTCTACAGAACTAATTATATACAGGTTCATTGTTATCATGATTGTAGCGTGGAGATGATTGTAAAAACTTGTTTACTTAACTGTGACATGACTGCCATTGTTAAATTTAAAGGGGCATTAGCTACATATATAAAAACAAATTAAAATATGATTTATTTTTGTTCAATCATTAATGAAAGTGAAATAATGAAATAATAATTCGCTTTTAGCAGCCAATTTAGTTCAATTTTGTCAAAATATGCTCAGAAACATCGCTAATAAATTTTACACATGCAAGTGAATAATTTAACCTCATTGAATCCGTATTCATGTGACCTTCAATTTAACTCATTAGCTAGAGATTGGTTATGCATGTATTATTCATGTTCAGCCATTAAAAGGAAAAGAATGTCAACATTGAAAGTGAAACAAAGGTGAACCATTTTGTTGACTGATTTGATCCACAAAAAATCATTCTTTTGAGGTAAAAATGATGATTAACTTATTTTTTTAACCTATAACATGAAATCAAACTGACCTAGAAAAGTCCAATTGCACGAGGTCGCTATCTATTTATATTTATGTTTATGTTTATATCGGGTTATTTGACCATCGGCAGTCTTCGGAGGTCATCTCAATGGTTAATTAGATGGCATCTGGACTAAAATACACACAAAATCCTGATATATACTATCGAGTCCATGCATTGTTAAATGCTTATTTCAGACTTATTGTGATTTGGATATACGTTTTAGTATGTTATAAATCAAATATGAGAATTTGATTCAAATCGGTGAACATGAATTTGACAGCTTATGCCCCTGTAAGAATACTTTTGGTGGAGTTCTGTAGATGGGAAAAAACTGTAAACAGAAAAAATGATCAGCAAAACATTATCTTTAAAAATGTCATTATAACAAACAATTGAACTCCTCAAGAAGTTATTGACCTTAAAACAACAAATTTGACTAATCATGTGTGTTGTAAACTTTTTCTAAGATCCTCAACCTCTGAAACTACTGAAATAAATTTAACCAAAATAAGGGTTAATGATTGTGTATCTAGTATAAAGTGTGTGTTTTTTATTTTGATCAGTCAAATTTAACCAAAATAAGGGTTAATGATTGTGTATCTAGTAAAAAGTGTGTGTTTTTTATTTTGATCAGTCAACAAACATGGCCACCATGGCTTAAAAAAGTAGAACATAATGGTAAATTGCATTAATTGTGTTATACCTTGAAATCTATAATGCCAAAAATACTGGGAAGTGTAGCAAGGCAAAACTTTGTTTGAAGACCTTGTGTTAACCACCAGATATCTTCTCATTGTTCATTGTTCACGTCATTCATGTGCCTACTCATTGACATACTGTATACCGTACCGGTATTCATTTTTATTTGTGGGGTACCAGTTTTCTTGGATTTCTTTGGCACAGATGAACCAAATGTTCAAAGAATTGCAAATTTTCTATGGGCTTGTCTGCAGACTTTGGCAAAACAAACAAAAAATCAAATATCCCCGTAAAAGTTTTCCTCATGACAGGGAAAGGAGTAGTTTCAATAAGGCTCTAAAATGGCCCCTAATTCTAGCTGAAATTTGAAATTAGGATTTATTGACCAATGTCACATGGGATCATAGCTAATATAATGACTACATTAGAAAAACGTCTTTTTGTTGAAAATTTATGTTTTTGCGTTCTATTTATGACGTCACAAATAGCACTCATTTAGATTTTCCGCGCAAAATTTGATGAAAGCGGATAAATTTACATTGTTATTTTGGAGAGGAAACATAGAGCGCATGTGTCGACAACAAAGATATTTTAGCCTAATGTTTGTAATGAAGTTTTACATATTTGACTTGAATATTTTGTTTGTCGTCGCCTGCGCTGTATGTTTCCTAGGTCTTAATTTGGTTGAAATCCCGACGATTTTGCCCAATTTTGCAAAAATATCTAATTTTAACCTATTTGGGATGTCAAAATCAATGCTTAAAAATAAAACTCTGGCAAAAATAGTTCTATATAACTTTCTCACATGTCTTTTCATCAACTTAAAACACGTTTTATCTTGAAACATTGAACTTAATAATCGGGGCCAAATTTGGCCCATACCAAACTTACTCCTTTGTACCCAAGACAATAAATGAATCCACAGTATCCAAGTGTTAAATATGATTTTAAAGAAGCCCACTAGAGATATTGTGATCGATTTGAAAAAAGTGTGATCAGGGTCACTGTGAATGGATGTTTAGTACATGTACCTTCTAACTTTTAAATGGTTTCTGTTTTTTTTTTTAGGAAATTTTAAGAGATTATGGAATGGTTTTATGGGCAGAACCACCAGAAGTATTACTGACGGGTCAAATTAATCATTTGATAAAAAAAGCACAGACATTAGGACTTATAGCATGGACAATTAAAGATCCTGTATCATCACTCACGTATACAAAAATGCTAAAACATTTCAAGGTTCGAATAGAGGATTATTATTTCAAAGAGTCAGCAAAAACTAGTCAATTAATATTGTTCGATACAGAAAAGATTCACAAGGAATTAATGTTGCCATGGGTAAAATGTGCCCTTGTTGAAGAATGTATTAGCCCTACTGGAGCTCAAAACACTGCATGCAACTATGAACGAAAGCCGTTATTTAAGTATTCTGGGTGTCATAAATACGATATGTCAGCATTTGATGTGATTTTAGGTAAAATATTTAAGCATTCAAAAGGGTATGCTGTAGAAGAAAGAGTATTTGGTGTACCAAAAATAGTTGTTCCTCAAATTACAGAAAATTACCAGATGTATGTTTCACATAATGTCACAACAGACTATATAGAAAGAACTAGACTCAATCAAATTCCTTAAACATGTTAAAATAGATATTTTAAATCATGATTCAAGTAATCAAAAATTTTGTATACTTTTATAACTAAGAGAAATGTTAAATTTCCATGGATGTAATGAGAGTTCAGTAAACTGGTTAATGTGCAGAGATCACAGAACAGTTTTTAGAAAGTTGTTGAACTATTTACTGTGGATTCATTATTATTCGTCGGATACCATTTTTCCTGGATTCCGTGGGTAAAGATGAACCACAAATTCAAATGTTCAATGAAGTACAAATTTTCCAAAAGGCTTGTGTGCAGACTTCTGCAAAACTATGAAATCAAATATCCACGAAAATACAATTTTTCTCAATGCACAAAAATAGGTACCCACAAAAATAAATGAATCCACAGTATTAAAAAAATCATGAAAAGGAAATGTGCAGCCAATTTGTCAAAATGGTTGATGTTTTTATAGCTTGATAAAGAGGTATGGTTTAGTCATGCAAATTGCTCATTTATTCAAGAAGAAGACCTCTGCAGGAAAGTAATATGACATGTAGTAGCAAACTTATTATCAAAACAATATCATAACTTTTATCATTTACAATACATCTTTCATGGTTATGACTTGGTAGGCAACAGGGGCATTAAGTGTTACCCTTGACCATCTGGCTTTCCACCCGTCCCATTTTGGTTTCTGCACTCTGACTTATGTTTGCCTCATGCAAATTTTATAAAACTCATACACAATGCTAAGAACCAAAACTTGCAGACAGAGCTCGAATTTGGGAAGCTAGTCACTTACAGTTCTAGAGTTATGCCCATTTATAACTTGGAAAATTGCAATTTTTTTTTGTTTCTGCACTCTAACTCAAGTTTGTCTCACCCAAATGTTATGAAACTCATACACAATGCTTAAAACTACAAAATGCAGACAGAGTTTGAATTTGTGCAGTGAGTCATTTACCGTTCTAGAGTTATGCCCCTTTATAACTTGGAAAATTTCAAAGCTTGAGCGGGGGCATTCGTATCCTCAGACACATTCTTCTTTTATTTTTATATTGAAATGAATAGGATGATATTATCTGGACTTTTCAGTGCAGAAATGTCACTTGCGTTGTCACGAACGTCATTAGTGTACATGTAGAAATGACATATTTGACCTAAAATGACCATTTCTCACAAAGATTTTGGCAAAAATATAAAAATGAGCCAAAGTCATAGTCAAAAAGATGACATCAACATCTTTTATTTAGACATCTTAAAGCAACACTTCTCTTTTTGTAAGGATGTAGCAAAAGTCCAAAATAATATACTTATATAAATGTTATTAACAAGATCTCAGAATGAGGTTGTTTTGGAAGTAATTAAGTTTTTGCACCTATATTACAGTTGTTCACCAGCTACTATGGAAATTTTTGAAGTTTTTTATCCAAATATTCCACACAAAGGAACTTAATTGATTTATTCAGCAAGATTTTTCCAATTTTTGTTTTCATTCCAGATTTTTGTACTTTTCAGAAAGTTTTCAATGTTGTGCTCCTTAAATTGCTCATTTTTACATTTTATATTTCAACATATTTAAATGTTCAGTATAGAAAATATCCATTGTTAAAGACACATTCTGTTCAACCCAGCCATTTGAGTCTTTGATCCATTTTTTAATACTTTTACAAGAATGAATGCTCCGTAGAAAATTATTTTAGGAAAAAGGTTTCATGTATTCTAAGCAATGTTGAAGAAACTATCTTATTTTTAGAAAAAAAGAGGTAAAGTAGTGTTAAGGATATTGCTCCTCTTGTTTTTGATTTTTTTGCCAGATATTCTGAATCCTCTTGTTTTATCCATGTAGAGCCATTAAAAATTTTTGCCCGCTAACCCCTACTTTTCTTTTCATAATTTTATTACATCTAGTTTAAAAAGCCATATTTGAAAATCTTATAAAATCCTTGTTATTTTTTCATTGTTTTTGAAAGAAAAAAGGTGCCAATGTTAAATGTATGAAAAATCTAGAGAGAATCATTTCTGCCAAATTTTCAATGGCTTATATCTCGAAAACAAGCACACAGACCCTTCATTTTATTCTGTTTTTTAAGTTTCTTCATTTATATACTATCAATTTATAACAGTCGTTTAAAAAGCTTGTTATTATGAAACAGAGGAGCTAACATCCTTAAGGATAAAATATAAACCACTGTAAGTATTTACGGTACACGTGTGTTTTGTATTTGAGCAATATATAAATCATCTGGAAAACTCAAAAAATAAACTGATCAATTTTTGCAATGTATATGATTTAAGGGTATGACAAATATAAAAAAATTTGATGCTATTTTGTGTATTTTTCCTTTGATCTTTTTTGTGATAATTTTTCATATCATGCTACTTGCTTGAGGTAGAAAGTTATTGTCAGAAACTAAGGACGCACCTGCTGTTGCAATGTAAACATCTACATCGTCATAAGCAAAATAGCGATAAACAGATTATTAATGGTCTTTTAAACTCAAGGATGTTTCTTGGCCACATCTCATCACAGGGCTATCGCCCTTCGGTGAGCTTGTAGCTGAGAAACACCCTCTTGTTTGGAAAACCATCGATACCAGCTGCTGCTAATCAAATTCAAAGTTTTTTATTGAGATATTGAAGGAACAAACTATTAAGATATGTCTGATAGCTATTTTAGAACATTAACAATTAATATCCATTGCATATTTGTATTTTATTTAAGATTGCTCAATATGGAATCAATATCGTTTAGAAATAAGAATAGACATAGAAATTTTTTATTAACCAATCATGGACCCTTGCCGGTTTTAAATTTTATACAATAATTATAATGATAAATAAAACACAACATTTATAGAATAATGAATTGTCAGTGCATGAACAAGAGAGCAATTAGGGAATACAGTATTTTATTTAAAGCTGATTACTTCCCTTTGTACAATATTTGATATGTCAAATCTTGTGTTATTCAGATTTTAAAACTTATTTTAGTAGATCATCTGAAAAGGTCAATTGTAATTGGTTACTTCAAAAAATAATATCTTAAACAAGGAATTATTTGAATCTGGAATAATTTTGAATTCTGCAAAATTGATAAGAAAAGTATTATGAAAACTAACCCAACTAAATAGGGTTAGCCATGCATGGATGCAGTATGAACTAAATATTCAAGCTAATTAGTATAGAAAAAATAAGATGCCATTTTTCTTTTAATGGTAATTTGAACAAATAATATGTTTCTTGAAGTAGAATATGAAATTACTTGTTACAATTAAGAAAAAAAACCACTCTTTTTACTCATACAAAGTTGTGTGATAGTTGTTTGTTTGTATGAATGGAGGTGTATGCATTTCATTCGATAAATTGGTGTGAGTGGACCACCAGGGTTTCTTCCTATATACGTGCATCTGTAATTGGTCCCTTTTTTATACTTCAGATATATCAATGGGTTGCAATTTCACCAAGGTAAAATATCAATTGGTCAGTAATTTTCTTCTTTTGATTAGATTTTTGTATATTATAGAAACAATTAATGCACCCACTTCATGCTTTTACTCTACTCCATTGGGGAAGAGGGTTTCAACATGAAATTTTGGATACAGAAAACATGCCACTGGGATTTCAAAATCACCCCCATTCAAACATTAAAGCCTTGTAAATATCACGACCCATAAACATATTTCATGGCTCCATTGGGGAAGAGGGTTTCAACATGAAATTTTGGATACAGAAAACATGCCACTGGGATTTCAAAATCACCCCCATTCAAACATTAAAGCCTTGTAAATATCACGACCCATAAACATATTTCATCGCAAAATCATAACCCATTCATATATTTCTCAGTTATCACATATACAATTTTTACATCTTAATTTGGTGAAAAACGATAAAACAGCATATTCATTCCTTAAATAAATTAACGGAAAGGATTGAAGATGATACATGTATTGTGTGCTTGGAAATCATATTTTTACCACCTAAAAAAGTCTAATATGCCTTTTACATTTACTAGGAAGTTTGTATTCAGTTAAAGATTTTAGGAAAAAACTTTTGAAGCAAATTCAATGATAATGAGTTAAATACTTAAACTGTGGATTCATTTATTTTCATGGATATAAATTATAGTGGATTGAGAATATTTTGCAATTTCATGGATATTCGATTTCGTGGTTATGTCAAAGTCTGTATACAAGCCTATAGAAAATGTGTACTTTGTTGAACATTTTAATTCATGGTTTACCTTTACCTATGAAATCCATGAAAATTGGTATCCCATAAATATAGACAACAGTCTTTAAATATCAGCTGTATTTGTACGAGGCTAAGAAACAGGTGTAATGCGAGCTTTAGCGAGCTATTACTCCTGTTTTGAGCCGAGTACAAATACAGCTGATATTTAAAGATACTAAACAGTTATTGTCTTTATCCTGCGATTAATTTTGTACATTTTTTTTTTCCATCACAATCGTTGAATTTGTTTCTGAAAGAAATTGACTTGACTTAAACGCAGACCACAATGAGGACCCCGAATTGAACTGTGACGTAAACAGTAATTTGACATAACCGTTCGCTTGCAACAGAAGCAGGATACCAGGAGACAATATACATCTAGTATACGTATATCGCTTCATGTTATCTGTACACCTGTATTAATATAGTAGAAAGGTCGATTGCAGGATATAATATTGAATCCACAGTAGTTTGGATGTCAGGTATTTGGTCCACTGTTGGGTTTGGGTGAGATACATACTGGATGAGACTTTCATGCCTTATTGAAGTATACATGTACATGTTTGTTAGTTTATATTAAGGTTATGTTTATGTGATGGTCTTAATGTTTTTAATACAGTGACTACTGTATAATTATGAATATAATTGTTTATATATATGTATGGACTTGTTACCAAGCTATATATATATTATATCATCCTTTAGAATTTTGATTTTCATACATTTCACAATTTGAATATATGTTACAGTATAAGCATTTCTTTTGAATAGTAATTTGTTTAAGTTTTATTGTTAAGAAAATAAAGTTAAATAATGTGTGAGTTTTTAAGCTTTTCTAACAGAACAGGTGCCTATGGTTCTCATCATTATACATAACTTTTTGACAGGATTTTTATTTCATTTTTGACAAAGAACCTGTTTGAACAAAGGTAAATTGAGATATTTGAGTTGCCACTTCCCAGCATGTGATTTATATATAGGTCAATGTAGCATGTATATACTGGTCATACTCACTTTGTTATAACCAGCACCTGGTCTTAGACAGTCTTCTCTAGTACCCTGCTTTGGTTATGTCATAATTAAAAGGATACTTTCAATTGTGAATTTTCCGTTTATGAATGATGTATTTCAACGTTATAGTTAGGATTTAAGGCCATTGGGACACAGTTTAGAGATAAAGGGCATGTTAAGAGTTGTTTCTTGTCTACAAGGGACAACTTTATCATGTCTATAGATATAAAATTGAAATGAGGTATTTTTGCTGGGTTTTTGTTGGGCTTGCAACATTTTGTCACAAAAGTGACACAAAGCAATAATATGTTCCACCATTGGTGTCAACATATAGGAGCATTTAAAATAACTTTATCAAACCTTCTTGGAGTTTGCTGTAATTTAGACAGAAGCTTTTTTATATAACTTTTGCAAACCTTCATCCAAAAAAAAAGTTTATCAATAAAATATGGAAAAATGAAAAAAATAATATTTTCAAATTTTACTCTGGATCTTTTGATCATAAAAAAGCTTCTGTCCAATTTTCATAAAAGGAGTAGATCCAGTAAGACCCATTTTTGGCCCCAACATATAGCAGTTTTACAAAATTGTTAAAATGTAAACTTTTAGCTATTTATTTGAAAGTAGAATACTTCTGCTACATAGATATGGACTGTTTTTGACAATACATTGCACATATATCGGGTACTAGCATCATTAAGTCATGCTAAATTACTGAAATCTTCACAATTTTAGCATTTGAGTTAAATTTTAGACGGTTTCCGTCTTAAATGGAAGTAGCCACATTTGTTTTCATTCTTAATATTTACAAAATGTAGATGTAAGTTGTATTTGATGATAATACATAACATATATAAAGGTTGAGAGTGAACACGAATGCTGCCACTTTCATTTTTGACAAAAACCATCTGAAAAGTGACATATTATGGCATATATGATAGATTTGTCATATTTAAGATTGAATTTGAGCGTCTTTAATGACTAAATCTGTTCAAATCTTTCACATAAACCTAATTGAATCGACTGAAGTAGACACTTAAGTGTTTAAAAAGTGTCCAAAATCTTTCATCAGATGAACCTAAAATTTGAGGCCAAAATCGGCCCTTACCGGACCTACTCCTTTCATGAAGGTTGACACATTTTTAGTATTTAAGTGGTTGTTAAAAATTTTTTTCCCAGTAGTTAAAATTATTTTCTTTGTATTGAAAAGGATTTATTTTCTTCTGAAAAAAACAAAAAATGCAAGCAGCAGGACATGACTTTACACTTCAGCTGAGGTTTATTCCAGAAAAATGTTTTGTAAGCCCAGATATTGAAAACTGATATTTATTGCATGAACCCCTGAGAGTTCATGTATATATGTTGGTTGCTCTTGTAATCTTTTGGAATACAGGCAATCTCCCTTGAATCTATAATGGGGTCAATACAGACACATGTAATGTTAAAGTATTAAGAAATTTGTAGGGAGCCCATAGCTGTGTTGAAATATTCATGGGTTTTGGAAGGGGGGTCTTGAATTTATTTTCCTTCAAGGTGGGATTTGAAAAAAAAATAAGAAAAATTCCAATTTGTTCTTCCAGGTCCCCCAATGAAATAAAGTGATCAGTCTCTTAGATCATAAGTATATTAATCAATATATATTCATTAAACCTTGATCTTTTTGTCTCACATATGCATTCTACATGCTCATCCACAGGTTCAGCAGCCCAGGCTTATAAAACTTTTGTCGGGCCTGTAAAAATCATCTCCACCGGCCAATATAATCTAACTAAAATTTTCTTAAAATTCAGAGTCGGGCCTTTAGATTCAAAAGTCTATTGTGAAGACTGCATGTGTCAAACGTTGAAGAATGCGACAGGGATTACAATCCAGCAGCAGCAAACTATTTGTATATAAACATGATAAAGCTTTATATTTCAGAAGTAGAAGACCTGGATGCTTCATATGCAAATGCCTTATATTCTTATATTACGAAGTTTCCTGTCTATCATTTATCTATTGCCATTTTCATGGTTAAGCAACTGCTTGAATTTTTTTAGTCCCCTATCGACCAAGTTCAGGTTTGCACTCCGTCCGTCTGTCTGTTTGTCTATCCTTCAGTCTGGCTAATCAGTTTTCCACACCCTTTTCCTTTGTGCTTGAAGATATTAAATCTATATTTGGTATATAGTTTTATCATGACCAGTTACGGATCAAATTTGATTTTTGTTCTGGTCTGATGATTTTGTGCAGAGTTATGTTCCTTGGATTTAGATAATTCCGACAAGAAATCAGTTTTCCTAACTTTTTTAATTATACTTGAAGATATTGATTTGGTATTTGTTATATAGTTTAACAATGACAAGTTACAGATCAAGTTTGAATTTTGTTTGGTTCGGATGTTTTTTTTTTGCCACGTTTATGGTCCTCGGACTTAGAAAATTCATGCAAATAATCAGTTTTCCACACTTTTTTCATCATGCTTGAAGATTTTGATTTCATATTCATTATATAGTTCAACCATGTTAACACTAGGACAAGTTATAGATCCAGTTAGTTGTTCCATGCAGTGCAATGAATTTTTAATTGGTAGGGGACTATGTACATGTATCGCCATGCAATACTCTGGGAATGCTTGTTTTAGTTGTTTTGTCGCTGTGAAATACTCCCTCATTACGAGTTATAGGGTAACTATATTTGCTATATTGGATGCTTGCAAAGTCTACATATATCTGTCAGACATGGTTCACCTGACCTCAACCTCATTTCATGGATCAGTGATC